ACCAATTTTAAAAGAAAATCAGAAGCCCTAAAATTGGGATGAAAAGATAAACAGTCATAAAAACCTCTACGCATTTTCAGGTTATCATTCAATAACGACATGTGGAACCAAAAAAAAGGCAAAATGACATGTTATATGCTAAAGTAAAGGACATGACAATTTTAATGTAGATGGACAAATTTCCTCTAACCGCATTTTTGAAGAATAATGCGCATCAAGCAGGTAGCGATTTTATAGAATTCCATAACTAAAAAATAGAGTTCTATTTTAATCTGAAAACACATTTGGAAGCATATTTCTACTTTTATATATATTGAATTCCATGAAATCAAGTACAACAAAGTTATATCAAATGCACATGACTATTTTCGTCTTTTTCATAACCAGAATGGTCACTGGCCTAATTTCTAGTCATTGTTTTAACTAAACACTGGACTATAATTAGAATATACATGGACCTACGTTGATCTTCTAGTTAAACATTGACCTATAATTTGATTGGAGCCATTAGCATAAATAGTTAGTTCATAGTAGAAGATGATGTGTCAAAAGACCTAAAACAATGATCCTTCGTCTGCATGTACGGTTACACACATCTACGTCCGCAAACAATAGTCAGCGTTTTGTCAAATGGAAAATAAAATATAGTGTAGTGTGATGTAAATAGAGTATAAGAATAATATATTGAACAAAAAAATCAATAATGGAGATGATTTTTTTTGTTAAAGTCAATAATGGAGATGATGGTCTTTCTCCATTTTACAAAATATTGGAGCTTCGTATGGTTGGGTAGTTGGAAGGTGACCCGATCATGCCAAATAGTGGTGTCCCTTTAGGTACGTATAAGAGATTAGACGGATTACTATTTTTGTTTTAATCAACCAATTATGTATTGTTAAGTGGGTGACTACACGATCACACTCATCCTCCGTTTGGAAACTTTTTCTATAATGTTTTAATACATTTTGAATGCTTAAAGCCTTAAACGTTGAAAAGAATTAGCCAGCTCGTTTGATGGAAATGATTGGATATTTGAAATGTTGCTATCGCAAGTTCTTAACCTTGGGTTGCATCTCTAATATTTTTATACTTTTTAAGTGTCTAAACATTGAAAAGAAATAACATCATAAAGATTTAATGTTCATGAATTTAACTCAAAATCAATTGATAGGATGTATTAGTCTATATAACTGTGTCTTTTTCTCTTATATATATTATACTAGATTAGGATCCGCGTTGATACGCGGGTAAACAAATTAAAATTATTGATATAAATATTTAAGTTTTAGTTAGTAACATACTGAATTACAAACATATATAAAAATACTGTTTAAACATGAGTTTTAAATTAGTAGAGATCAATTTATAATTCTAATGTCATAATTCATAACATGCAAATCTATATATATAAAAATAAGTGAACAAAAATATTATTACCCATCATAAATACATAAAAATTATGTGATAAAATCGCAAAAAAAAAATTCAAATATAATAGAATTAAATATACAAAATTCATTTAAATAATCTCATATAACCTATATAATATTTTATAAATATTTTTATCAAGCATCACATATCCATGATTGATAAATGTATACCATTGATGTCATTGGTTTAATTTTCATAGAGATTTATACTCGTCAAACCTTAAATTCTCTTGGATTTTAACAGCAAATATC